TAAACATCGACCAGACTACACAGCGCAACAACCCAGAAGACAGAAATCTTCATACCCTGATGATGGAGGCAGTATGACCTCTGAAACGTTGGTAAACATCGACCAGACTACACAGCGCAACAACCCAGAAGACGGAAATCTGAATCCCAACACATTTTCCATTTCAGACAAATTTCCGTTTGACACAGGCTTAACTTTATTTTCAAAGTTCAAAATGGCGGTGATGAGTAACTGGTCTTTCTTCCAGTACAGCGACTTCCAATACCTTCCACTTATTGGCCATGAGACTTATCCGACTATTCAATAATTCTCATTTATATTTCTTATAATGGCAGCGCTCCGGGAGGTGACCTACAGACCATTATAGACGACAATCTGGTGCCATTTGAAGCAGATGTGGTCAAGTTCGTGCGTCAACTTGTAGAGGGCCTTGCATATCTCCATGAGAGGAAGATAGCCCATCTCGACATCAAGGTAGGTCATGACTCAGTGTTCGTGCTCACTACCAATCTCACACTTAAAACAAAATCAGAACATACATTACAATACAATATCAGTCCCTATAATTTGCTAAATTTTCATACACCGTATCGAGAGACATTTCAAATAAGCTCATAATTCATTTCCCTAAGCACCATTTAAATATTATCCTCTCAGATCCCTTCTGCCTTTAAATTGGCCTTTTTCTAAGCAGCATCCCCATCAAAATTCTACACGCATGTTTTGTATACCCATCCGACATTTCAGTAACGTTAAATAACCGCATTAAGTCCGTCATAAACCTATTTGTCTTACCCCTTTGCAAATGTTCGAAGAGACAATGGAGGTTCAATCAGCTGCAAATGGAACAGCGAAGCACGTTTTATCTTGGATACAACTTTCCAAATATGCAGATAGCTTCAAGGTGGTGGGTAGCTGAGTCAATCCCGTTCCAGCTCGTTACTTTCTTCAGTGACATACAGTGTCGCCACCTCCACGAAATCTCATTACCACGAACTAAACTTATCGCTATTTGCGTGTCTGTACATTATAAATTATGTTCACTTCCCGAGTAAGCCTATTATGGACATGTGAAGTTCTAGGAACTTGGAACATTCATGTTAATGACACTCAAATCATTTCACCATGGATTATAACAACCAATGACAATGCCGTCCAAGTTCTTCGAAACTGCGGTCAGGCTCGTAGTAACTGGAAACGGTAACAAGTACAAAAAAACATTTACGAATAAATTAAAAGCAGGGGGGAAAAAAACAGGAATTTTTAAGAACGGGGTGAAGGGAGAATATCTGGACCTAAAAGGGAGGAGGTGGCAGAGAGAATTACAAAACACGAAGCTTCATAAATTGTACTCTTCACCAAATATCATTGGCATGATCAAATCAAAATAAGATATCAAAGTCGGGGCATGTAGAACACACAGACGTGGAAAATGCATACAAAATTGTGGTGAGGAAACTACCAGGGAAAATATCACTTGGAAAACCTAGATGTAGATGGTAGCTCCATACGGAAGTTGGGAAGGACGTGCCCTGTTCGCTGCCAGGCTTGGATACAAGCTGAACTCTTGATTTCTTCATGTATTTCCTTCCTTTCTTTGCCTTTCTTTCTATATGTATTTTTCTTTTCCTTTTTCTTGCTAACTTATCCTCTCCCTCCTATGCCATAGTTCCGTTTGTCTTTCTTCCTTCTCTTCTTTCATAATCTTTCTCCTCACGCTTTCTTTCAACACGAGGGTAGAGCAGTCTGAGTAAACAGAACACAATAATGTAGACCTGAAGATGACCAGGCAATGGCCGAAACATGTTTCAAGGTGACCGAAGTAAAATTCCAACAAACACTGACAGAAACTGTGTAAAATACGACGGTGTAATAGAACCATAATAAGAGTCTCCGTGGTAATTAAGATATTTCATTTTATCCTTTCTTTTTATATATATTTTCTTCTCTGCTGTTTCTTCCTTTCTATCTATAAGTCAGCGTCCGTGCCTTCCTTTGTTACTCTTCTCGCCGGGTTGTCATGACAACAACACAATCAGACGGGCTGCCAGGCCTCTTACACGCCTGATCCTGTCAAATTCGCCTCGGTGAGTGTTGACTTACGACACTAAATCGTCTGCTTTATCGACGCATTGTCGGTTTAAATTAACTCAGTGGTCGACTGGAATGGAATCCACATTAGCCATAAGGAATTTCCCTGCTTGGGACAAGACCGGCACAACTCCTCCGTCTGTATGCATCACATTAGTTCGCTTCCCTGATGTTTAATCACGCTATAATAATACGCCAAGTTGAATGAACAAAGAACGTAATATTTTTCTTACTTAGCAAAGAATCATATTCTAAAAAGTAGCTTCTCTCTTATCACTGGAATATTAAAACGGATTACAGTCTGTGGTACCACATCACAATCGAGGTCGCTTAACCTAAACAGCTGATATAATATCATTAAAAAAAATCTACTCAATCTAAGTATGTGTCAGGGAAATCTGCTGAGCAATTAAAATGACAGAATGATTCTTAATTAAGTTGGCAGCCCTGCTGCTTCACGATCCAGATGTAAAAACTGTTTAAGAATGGAGCTGACATGACTTCTGGAAAGTCATGGAGAAGGGTTAACAAATTGTGAGACCAAGCAGTGGGAGGGGAGGCAATGTCAATGAGATTTTTCATTAATCACCCATTATGAGCGAACTGTAGACACCAATGTTTTAGCTGAGGGTAAAGAAATACGAAATGAGGAACTTCACAATTTGTGTTCAAAATCAAATCACGTGATTTGTGATAGATGTCCCGGGTTTGAATTCTATGATGTAGTAAGGTTGAATATTGTTTGTGCTTTATGTAATAGTGTTGGGCGCAGGGATGAGTGTGGAAAAACAGGAAAGTGGGCCGCTTCTAAATATAAAATTTGTTTTTACAGCCCCAGAATCTAGTAATGATGGCTGACTTTCCGGACTGTGACGTTAAACTCTGCGATTTCGAGATTTCGAGAGTGATTCTCGAAGGAACTGAGATACGTGAGATTTTGGGAACACCGGACTACGTCGGTGAGTGGCATTACAATTTAGCGTCTCCTGAGATTTCCCAGTTGCTTAGCAACAACATTACGTAGAATCACGCAAAAAATATTTATTGCCGAGTAGTTCATAATTACACACATTAAAGACATCTCACAAACTATTTCTCTCTCTGTAAATGGTACTGTTACCTACTGTCAGTTACATAATATCGGAGACAGTGAATAGAAACTCAGTCAAAGAAAGGCAATTTTTTATTGCAGAGAAACAAAGTTATTGCCGGTGGGCGGGGAATTCATACGGACACGCCAAGTCCTTTCCAACAGACAAGGACTTTGTAAGAAAAATGTCAAATGCTTCCCACATGAAAGAGTTGTCAATTAAAATAAGTGATATACATACATATATAGCCTTGTGTTCTTGCAATTTACTATTGAAAGTGAATATAAATAATAAAGAATGTCATTGGCATGTGAGAAAGTTCAATGTTACCTTGAGAAAATAATCCGTTTCAATCATTTACATTTAAAAAAATGATAATTACTCATCCGATCAAGAAATTCTTTGTTGTTACGCAAACCGAATAAATTTTCAAGTCACACAGAACTCCGGCACTGGACCCAATTCTGATTCAGTTAATATCGTCGCAAATATTAATTTTTGCGTTGTCTTTTTACAAGGACGCTAAAACCTGACAGATTTAATACAAATCCGTGCTACATGACTGCATTTCATCCACTCCGTTTTAATTATCCTAATGAGATCCCTCTCCGCTTGGGACGAAAGGCCAAGATTCACACCAGTATAAAACAAAATACAAGCTCGTAACGATGACGGTAATAATGATGACTATAAAACTGAGAGCTGAAGTTACAGATAGTTACTCCGACTTAATTTTTAATTCGCAAGGGGCTATGCTATTTTAAAGTATATTGTCATATATAATCCATTACATTATTTCAGGTAATAAAAACACTGAACATATATGGATTTGATTCAGTTTAACAATTCCACATAAACATCTTTAGTAATGCCTCGGTAATATTCCGTAAGCATTCTTAAAAATGCTCCAGACTCATCTACCAACGTTCTTCTGTTTCAGCACCAGAAATACTGCACTATGAGCCAATAACACTCAAGGCAGACATGTGGTAAGTTGGAATAATCTTTGATTTGATCACCGCAGTTATTTCTGACGAAAGACATGTTTTACGAAGATCGTCAAAACGTAATTGTCTCTCACCCTTCCCTTTTTACAGGCCCGAATATTAATCTCGACCCTTTGCTCAGAAGTCCTTCAATAAACTAATCTTTGACACGGGTTCAAGGATGCCAGTGGAATGTTAAGTGTTTGTTTCGCAGGTCCTTGGGTGTCACGACATACGTCCTTCTTACGGGATTCTCGCCGTTCGGTGGGGAGACAGACCAAGAAACTTTCTGCAACATATCGAGGGCTGAGGTTGACTTCCCGGAGGAGCTGTTCGAAGATGTGTCTGAGGACGCGCAGGACTTCATCGGTAGTTTGCTCGTGCGTGACCCAAGGTCAGTGTCGTCGATACGCCAATGGCAGGCGAGCAGAAACAGAGCTACGACGTTGCGGGACTGTTACCGCCGATGCTGACACCAAACGCATCGCCAGTGCGTTCTTGCTACCTGTTGCACCACGCACTGGTGTCTACTTGATGCTCGGTTGAACTTTGAAGCTCTCTACAGCCACTTCTTATCATTTCAAGCTGTGTCACACTTATCACTTTCAACAATTTCTACACAGACAAAAATTACTCTTCTAAAACGACTAATTATCTCTAATATTATCGCGAATCAAAATAAATATAATCTATCGTGACGTTGACATTATGTGGAAGTTCATTTCCACACACCAGTACTCCTTCAAAACATCTCAGCGACAAAACCGATCACTTAACAAACCACGTGTCTTCAATGCATGTAATAAATCACGTTATTTACAATTTCACTTGTTTCTTGCGAGACCACGTGGCATTAATTCCGATTTCATAGCCGTCATATTCAGAACGACATTTACAAGATTCATATAAGGACAGGTTAATTCGATTACAAATGCTGTTCATGGCACATGAAGGCGTTATGAATGAAGTCAATTAACTGAAGAACTACAAGAAATTTTCTATAGCTATAATAACTACGTGAACAGCATCATAAATCTTCCTGCTTTTATACAAATGTACATCTTTCTGTAGCTAAAATGGTTGCTTACTTACTAAATTATTTCTATACAAATTGACGAGTTATTATAAAGAGGAATTTCATCATGACCCTTGTTATATTCCAAAGGTCTTGGACTAACCAACTAGATGGCTTATAGGGAACCCGAAGGTTCATCACCGAATTAACAAAAGCCCTCCACCGGTCCCTGTCGTGGGCCAGCAAAATCCAATCGCCTTCAACTCCTGTCTCCCATATATCCCGATTAATATTATCCTCCCATCTACGTCCGGGTCTCCTCCGTTAAAGGTCTTAGTCATATCCCAAAAATAGTAGTCCAAAAAATTTAAAACTTTACAACGATTCTAATACTGAATAATATCCATGGCCTCAAAATGTGTCAATCTGTAACACGCTTCAACACCTATTTGGAATTTTTTTCTGACATCAGAGGTCGATTTACAGAAGTTTCACTAAATCATTATGGTCACTGTAAAATGTCTTAGTCTATATCATCGTGTGAAATTAGTAAATTGGAAAAATACTCATACTTGAGTAAGATTCTAACCCATGATCCGAATTCTTTAGCAGTCGAAAACCGTGAGCGTCCCTTAAACTGCACTGTTACGAGAATCGGCGCACAATCAAGAACCCTTACAACTTCCGACAAGAACACTAGTTTAGTGTGTGAAATAAAATTCTTGAACACTGTCACTTGCATATGTGACGTAATAACCAAGTGTGCATCGATTGCCTACGTCACTAATTTGTCTGAAATCCAAAAATAATACCAAAAAATTGTGTGCGTCCCATTTCAGAGCACGACCAACCGCAAAAGACTGTCTGCGCCACAAGTGGTTGTCGAAGAAAATTCCTCGCACATCCACACCACCATCTCTGTTACATCACAACTCCTCCTCACTGCTCGTAACCAAGGCGACCCAACGAACAGCACTGCCTAGTGATGACCCAACACGTAATGAAACTCAGCAACAGAAGAACCTAAGGAAATATCTGTCCAAATCTCGAGAAGCGCTCTTCGAGAGAGTGGTCCAACAGCATCAGCAGCAGCAAAAGAACAGCCTGAGAAAGACCACCATCCTTTCTCAGTACCACAGAACACGACGCCTCTGCGAAAGTCAGATGTCATTGGTCTCCAAGTCCAGAGAACGTCTCCTGATGATGGACCAGCATCAGATGTCTCCGTACTTTAGCCGTTCAAGAGAAAAGCTTTATGGACTCCGAAGTCTATCAAAATCACACGAGGTCCTGGATCTTTGTAAGTCAGCTGCAGCAGCTGGAGGTCAGACTCCGCAAGGCATTGGTTTGGGGATTCTGAAGACGCTGACCAGAGCAACCACGGCGGATCTCAGCATGATACCCCTTTTGCGGCAGAGGCTGATGGACCATGGATCATCTACAACATCAATCTCGTCTTCACTGACCAGTGAACAGGACATGGACGAAACCACAGTTCCAGCGTCTCCAGAGTGCACGAAGTTCAACAGGATGTCTTCGGTACCGGCCAGTTCCACATCGCCGCCAACCACTCACACACTAACACAGGAATTATCTCAGAATTCATCAGGGTCGCCAGACAGCGACATTAAGTCACCGATGACGCCCACACCAAAAGATCTGCTAGAAACTTCGTCGGGAAATCCTTTAGCAGATATCAAAATTCAGCCTAGACTTCGTCCGGAAAACCTTTAGCAGATATCAAAATTCAGCCTATTACCCAAATACCGGCACTTCTGAGCCCAAAATTACTTAAAGAAACCATTAAAAGTCAACCAAAATATGAAATGTTTTCCAATAACGCTCTGCACGAATGTGAGACTGATATCAGAGCTCGTGACAAAGAAACGGAACTTGAACTAGCCGATGCTGGTGGACTATTGAGCGAACAGATGACAGATCCGAACAGCAGCAGAGAAACCGGAAGATTAAAAGACGACTCGAAAGATGAAAAAAGCTGTTGCCGAGGTGAGAGAACAGAAGACGACAAGGTGTTTCAAAAAGAATGTAAGTTACAATACGAAGGAACAAAAAAATTAAAGAACCTTCCGAAGGAGATTGGACGAACAATGCAAGACACGCCGAACACTTCGGACTCAGCAGCAAAAGTGACACTTGAGAAGAAAATGGACGTTTCAGATAATGAGAATAACATATACGAGAATGGAGCGGATGAAGAATCAGAACCACGATACACTGTCGCGCAACTTATCTCAGCATTCAACCGTCACCAGGAAGTTGTAACAAAGACATCTCTTGAAGTAACTATGACAACCAGCGACAAGGAGACTAAGATCCCCTCCATAATCTTAAATTCGGGGAACAGCAAATTTCCTACTGGTGCAAATGCTCTGAGACTTTTCATACCTGACATTGACATAACCAATGAACCGCCTAAGAGGAAACAAAAGAGGAAATACTCTTTGGGTTCGGGGGTCACAAAAGAACGGGAACAAAACGCTGAAACATACCAAGTGTCCAAGGCGACGGTCGAACCATCCAAAGACTTGTACCAAACGGAAGACGATGAAGCTTTTCAGTCTCTTGAAAGTTCTAGCTCTCTTACAACCAATGACTACGACTCTATTACAAGTGTGTTAATACCGGAAGAAACTGTCGATGAGAAACAGGATGGACAGCTCGAACAAGAAATTACATCTGCATCTAAACAGGCGACGACGGAAGATTCAGTTAATGAAAACATCGACAGTACAAACAACAATCATAATGACGATTCAAGCACTATTTGTACGTTAGTTGTTGAACCTCCAACAGCTGACAGAGTTCCGAATGCTGAACAGGAACAATCCCTTCACACCGTAAACGTCAATAAATTCCAGCTGTCTGTAGACGTGACGCCAAATTATCTGAGGTCCGGGTCTCTCTCCAGCGATGCCAGCGCAACGTCAAGCGAAGGTTCCGGTTCTATGTCCTGGGAAGAGCTGACACCTCCCGGTACGGCGACGCCTTCAAGTACCAAGCACGAGCCCCAGCAATGGCCACAGAAAGCGGCTGCTACGAGCCCAGGTCGTCGTCACACGTCAAGAAGCAGATCTCCTAGTGTGAATCGAGATTCGTGGGGTAGGATCTGCACCGGAACTTATAACAGAGCCATGGAGAAGTTGGTCAACAAACAGGAAAACACAGGAGCCTCAGGTCCCAGCAGGAGACCAAACAGGAAGTCACTGACACTGTTAAGTCCACCTCATGTGATAAGTCCTTCTGAGAAAATCCGTCGGAAGTCAATACCTGTTATCAAACACTTTTCATAAGCAATATAAGATCTGCCCAAGCCTAACGTAACAGCGTTCATAATCCAAAATGATGTTTCTATTTGCATTGGAACATTTTGTTCAGTCTGAGGGATGTCAAACCAAATCCTTCAAACACAATCACAACATCCAGATGTCATAATTAAGCGTAGATTGATTATTTAAAAGTGTCTGTGGACGGCTATAATCCGTGGTTTTCTAGAAACCAATCACATGTCCACAATAACGTAACAAATTGAAGTTAATTATTATTTAACTCATAAAATGCGATCGGTGGCGCAATTAGCTATTTCTTCTTCCGGACTTCGATAAATTTGAATTTACTGAAAATAAGAAAAAAATATTCAGGAAGACCGTGTATCTTTATAAAGAGAATACAACTATAACCAACGTCTGTGTATAGTGCATATAAAAGCGGTGACAGTCCTTAAAGTTGGAAAATTCATCGCTTAAATGATTTATAACAGGTAATACAGTCTATACGTTAATAATTTTGAAATTGTGATTTCTATTCTGTTTCAGTATTAATAAAACCATAAAAATAATAAGTGCATTATGCATATTAAATGTATAACTCCAAAGGATGCACAATTTTCAGTCAAGAAATTCACACAATTTAATATTTCTGGTATCCTAATATGTTAGTGGATTAAGATCGTAAGTTTATGTAATTCACAAGTATTGTTTGTAAGGTGTGTCTGATTTCTGTTATAAATATACTCTATTATGAAATGCGCATAATAAAAATAGCTGTCATTACGGAATAACACGTTGGACTGTGTTTATCACAAAAGAGGTTATATTTCTGTCGTTAAGACAGAATCACGCGTGTAATTACAAATAACGAGGGTTTTTATATGAGTGTTAAAACATTAAAGGAAAATTTGGCACAATTTCCAAAATTAGATTCATTTTGTTCGGTGACAGCAATTTAGAAAATTAGATTCATTTTGTTCGGTGACAACGTGTGAAACAATAAATATCAATTTAAAAACCTCACGAATCATAAAATACGTACACATCTGCTACAAAATTATATTAATTAATTCAAAATTATGCAGTGTCCAACTCTTTTCAGAATTTCTGTTTGAATCGTTTTCTCAAAACCTTTTACAGATCATCTTCACACCACATTTATGCACGAAATGATTTTCACCAAATTTGGAAGAAAAATATTCTTTCGTTGATTTTAATACTCACATAAAATGACAGACATGGAACAAAAATGTGAAAGTTAATAAATAACTCCACAATTTGCATGCAACTGTTAATAACACAAATCAAAAAAGTCTTGTAAATTAGCGTGGAAATGCACATTTGTTAAATGTATATTACTATACAGTGTTCACGCCTGTCCCAACATAATGTACCTGAAACCTGATACAATGAACAGGTACAACTGTGATTTCTCATTTAAAGTTACAAAAAATATATATATACAAAATAAACGTGTTATGTTTTCGTACTGTCGATAGAGTAATGCAAAATTATTGTTCACAGATCTAATTGGTAATTAATTATAATAATGTAACGTATTAATATTATCTGAAAGTCGTCTTGGCTTTATGTAACAAATGCAGCAAAAGAAATGTACATAAATAAAATAAGAACCTAAACCAAATTTGTCACGACATTTCTTGTTTCTCAACCACAGCAGATGTTTAGTTACTGGCGAATTTCACACATAATTTTTAAAATAACTGCCATGGCACAATTACATGAATTCACGCTTACGTTTGAAACTTTTGTAAATTTTCTCCAAAGACAATAAATTCGTAAGATTGGGAGAACATTACATTGATACAAGGCACACACACTGTGTTGTGCATAACGTTTACCGGACTCTAAGAGACTTCTGTTTGTGAAGATTTCTGTTTTCTGGGGTGCAGTCTGGTTAACATCGACCAGACTACACAGCGCAACAACCCAGAAGACAGAAATCTTCATACTC